AAGAACAAGGATGTGATGTTGTGGTTGCGTTGCTGGCAATGGCGCTATGAAACAAAACCGCTAGGCTGTTCACAGTGACAGCCTCCACGTTGCGTGCACACTGAGCTGGACCGATCGACTTTGTGAAAAGGTTCCGATCGAATCGGTGAACATGTGTGTTTTCTCAGGTTTTTTTCGTGTTTCAAGCGAATTTTGGTCCAAGTTTTGGACACAGAATTTCCGATTTACAAGAGGTTCCAAACCCTCTTTTCCATTGTTTTTTGCAGTGGATTTGCAACACCTCTGAAGTTGGCGTGCTAAAACGCACGCGCGGTTTTAGATCCGCCGGGTTCTTTGTGAAGTCAGCAGCTTTCAAATTATAGGAATCATGTAAATAGACAACTGCCGACCCGTATTATTTTGCAGTGCTATGGAGACCCTTGAAAGATAGGTACAAAATACTTTCCAAATCCCTCCAAACAGGCCAGGAATTACTAAAAAGAAAATCACACGAAAGCCGTGCAATGTCATGCTTACCTTCAAGAAGTGTTGGTATTGTGGAGTTTCAATCCTTTTTCCTGGAGAATGAAATTCTATTCTTATAAGGACTGATAGTAATGTGCTGGAGATTCCAAAGATTTATTCAGATAATAAACCATAGGCACCAAAGCATGTATGATTACAAATCTTAACTAGTGAACGAAACAATATGATGATTGGTTTTTTAAAAAATAGCTACTGTTTGATTTCAATGGTTATTCTTGTTGGTATTGTTCTCCCTTTGCAACGATGAAAATGACTTCTTCAATCGATGAAAATGACTTCCCCAAGAAAAAGACTAAAGAAAGTAGACTATTATTATTGCTGTGTGTTGTCTTTCTATTAATGTCTTATTGCCTATGCTGTTTCAAGATATAAGCCTTTGGTAGCCTCATTCAAACTATTATTACCTCATACTTAGTCTGTGATCATTTAGCCTGACCGTTCTTTTCGTCAACCTATTTTCCGCTTACACATGAACCGCTGCCAACACACAAAAACAAACTGATTTGTTTTGTGATTTGTTATTTGTTTAATATAAAAGCGTACCATAAACATCAAGAATACAATCAAATAATTAAGCTAATGGTATCAATGATAACTAACACTAAAATGCACAATAGTTATATTATGTATACTGTATATATATTGTTCTTTTTGAGGGCAGCACGTCAGCAGGCTTGGAGAATTGGAGTAGTTTATGTTTTTATGCGTTGCACTGGATACAACATCCAGGTGGCATATGCCACTCCGGTGACAGGCAGGAACAGGAGAACATGGCAGCATACCTTTTGGACCACAAATGGGGTCAATCTGGGTCGGGCCGGGTCGCCAGACCGAGGGTCCGGCGGTCCGGCGCCGAACACGTTCAGGCCAGACCTCGGTCCAGTTCGGTAGAATCCCCCATCAAGAATTTTTCCAAATGGTGACATATATACTGCTTAGCATATAAGGCAGGAGTTTTATAGGCAGCGCATTATATCAGCTATTGGATTATATAGTTACTAATTTTTGAACAACACATGCAATGTTATTCCTGATCTTCCATACTCCAAACACCCAGCGCAGCTTCCAAAAAACTGTGAAGTCTCACATGTTTGGAATGTTTGGTCCAACGGCCCAGTACAAGAGTACAAGCCTGCATTGTTAGTCGTTCCACATATATATATATAGTTGGCACGTAGACATCCTGTGAAGTGCTTTGGAAAACATGGCAAAGCACACACGTTTCATCATTCGCAGTTGGTGCAAATTTTCTCGTGGTGATGCCCAGCCTGTCACGACATTTAAAACGGCAAAATAGGTGAAGGAGACCTCAGCAGCAGCAAACTGCGAAGACCAGCGCTCCGTGGTGCTCCGCGGAGCGAAGGATGTCCCCAGAAGCGGTAGATGGTGTGCCCACCACGTGGGTAGAGATGTGTTGTGGACATGTCGAAGGAACACAAACGGGATAGGAGTGCGAGGAGTCCACAATCCGAACTATACAGGTCATTTGTTGGGAATCTCTTGGAAAGTGGCCCAATCTCAATCAGATCTACAGAAACAGTTGAAGTAGGAAACCAGCGGCGGTCCAAAAAAGTTGGGACTTGGTCCAAAAGCCAACTCAAAACTCGATGTTCACTCAGAACGTCGGTGTTCGGGGTGAAAAAGAACGAATTCCTTGAGCCCTGCCCCATTCCCCTGTTCTCGGAATCATTTGACTCCAAACCTGGTGTACCAGGACCTTCAGTTGACCAAACTTGGTCTCCCAGGATTGGTCGGTCACGAGAAGTCCTGTGAAGGATCACAAACAGAGACTCCAATTAGT